TTGCGATCTGTATTGTCCTTCCAGCAGCCTACAAAGAAAGAAAAACGCAGGCTATAATACATTTGCTTCAGGTTTTTACATCCGGATATGGTCTTCGTTAAAATGATACAGGATAAAGGAGGCGTGAGAGGCCACATAAAATGTAAATATTAATAATGACGATGAGGATGAGCTGAGTCTCTCTGTCCGTGTGCCTGTTCGTTCTTCCGTTAGTCTGTGTATATGAGCGCGTGGATCTTATTGCCTTTATGAGCTAGATACTAGGATCGAGTTTCTAAAAAATCTATAGCTATTTCTGCTTTAATATACGTGTATCGAAATTCAGTAACAAATTACATCTCATATGTCTCTGGAGCTAGAGTTTGAACAATTGCATGTAGTTTTCGGTATATTTTATATAACTTTGAGCTTTGTTATATTTTGAATATCAACTCCATATTTCGAAAATTTCTTTAAAATTAAGATCTGTTGAAGCAATAGCCAAAATGTGAAGGTTTTGATTTTAAAATTCATTTTCTACCATGGTATTCCATAGAATATGTATAGCCAGATAAAACATTGGCTAGCTTTACTGTAAGTGACATTTAATTTTATGTCAACTCAAAATCAATAACTTTCTAATAAATAGAACATGTAAATCAACGTTGAAAAACCAAATAAAACAAAACAGCTTAAAAGGGAAATATGACCCAAAAATTAATCAAAATCATAAAAAAAAAAAACAACAAAATTTCATTCTAAGATAGCCTAAAAATGAAGTTCATCTCATACCACTAAATCTTTCCTATCAATTTAAAACTTACCCTGCTTAACGAAACGCGTCCCATTCGAGGTCTGATTCCACAGCGTGAAACAGAACGTGTAGCCCTCGGTGCAGCTGCGCTTGTGTGGCTCAGTGGGCGGGGCGCCTGCCTCCAGGTACTGCTGCTGCTGCTCCACACTGATGCCTTCACTGCTCTCCTGCTCATAGTCGTCGTCGTGCTGTAAATTGTCGTTCTCCTTGTAGCTCATGCAGCTATACTGGCGACTGGGCGCTGGCGCTGCAGATATTGAAGACATCGAATCAATATATATTTATACATGTATCTTTAAAATGAATCAATTGTATGTACTCACAGGCCAAAGTTAGAGTAATCATAAGCATTATGAAGAGCGTCCCGCACCGTAAACTCCACACTTGCCCAGTCATGATGCGAATTTTAGCTTGTTTTTGGTTTGAAGTGTCGTTTGCTTGCCGCTTTTGTTGATCTTATCAGCTCTCAACTCCCAGACGCTTATTGTTTATGGCATTTTGGCTGAGCAGCAGTAAATAGTGCTGAAATAAGCATTTAATGCAGTCAGTATATGTATAAACACTCATTTCTATATTATGTCCGATTGTTTTCTTTTGTTATGAATTGCGGATCGTTCATGCACTCGTATATCTATAAGCAAACTGTAACGCAATGACCAGTCTGGCCAGTTGCCATTGGAGTCCAAAACATTTGTAGGGTTTGGCTTCAGCCTCCAATTCACTCTGTATTCCGTGGGCGCACTGTAAATTTAGCTAATGCTGCAATTTATTGACGACGATAACGACGAGACCCAATTACAAAGAGACTCGATCCACGGGCTGGAGCAGCACCACTCGCAGTTGCTGATCACCCGCAATTGTAGTAAGAACAACAATTTTGTGTGTATGTATGTGTGTATGTATTTGTTGTTGCGCTTGGCGCTTGGCTTCTTTATCAGTATATCTGTCTGTCATTCTGTCTGTCAATCAGTCAGTCAGGCAGTCACCCACCCACTTTACTGAAAATGGAGCTGGCGCTACAACGGGGGGCGTTTTGTCGACATCATTGTACTTTGGAATCATTTGGTGCCGCATTCCGCTAAGCAAAAAAATAAATAAATAAAAACGTAATAGTGATGGACTAGGAGATACCCTTAATACTGCGAAGAACTGACATTCCAATGCAGTAAATGTTGTAAATCTAATGTATTTATATTGCGTTTAAAAAATACCTCAAATTATGAATTTTCGTCAACAATAAGAAAATGATGAATCGTTTCCGCATATGGTATACACAAGTACCCATTTAGAATTTCCCTTGCTTTTGAGTTTTATGAGATCGTTGCAATTGAAGGGACTGACGCAGTGTTGGTTAAAGTTGATTGAATTTGCGCATTATAAAAATGTAATTATTCCCAAGAGAATATTATTAATCATTTTGTTTAGAAGAATTAAAGCGGAGAATACTCAGTAAGATATTATCAATTAACATCGCAACAAAATGCAGAGATCAACTCAGCTGGTTCTCCTGATCAAGAATTTACATACTTTACTTTGCCACATCAGCCACGCCTACATATGCCTGTGTCATACATTTGAACAAAACCATTAAACCCAGATTTCCCATTTCCCCTGGGTTCAGGGTATAAGAAACACTCAGCAAAAAATCGTATGTACGCAATAATTAGTCTGAATACAAACGAGTACAAAGAAATTCTTGGCACATATTCTAGCTTTTATTTTTAACAAGAGGTAATATAGATTCCACTATATAACTCTACTAAGCATATCTGCTTTTAAGTTTCTCTGCAAAGCTCAATAGGTAGATCGCATTTGCTTAAGCATATAATATAGATAGATCTGAATTTTTGCTTTATTATTTTCATCATAGACTAATTCAAATTCAAATTTAAGAAGACAAATGCAAGCTAAAGATTTTCACATTTTTTAAGTGAATACACTATTTTTCTCTCTGTACAAATCTGACGTACAGACATATAGATACTGTGAAAAGCTTTCTGCTTTGGAGTGGCGTCTGTGACGGTAATTGGAAATTTTGACTTTTGATTTTAATTAGGCGCTTGACTGAACTGTATTAAAATGTCTTGATACTTTGCGTGAACTGATACACGTTGCTGTGTGGCTCACCTTATCGAAGCGCACACTCATTCAAATTATTGTATAATTACGTTTATGAGCTATGTACCTCGGTGGCGGAAAATGGGTTAATTGCTTTACAAATAGGACCGGAGCCTTTACAGCAATTTATAATATGTATGTACTATGTTTAGTAATTTATAATAAAGAAATAATAGTGCACATTGCAATGAATTTATGCACTCAACTCTTTGATATTTTTGTATGTACATATGTGTATGTGTGTGTGCACATGGAAGCAATTGACTATCATTGACGCCGTCAGAGCTTAACGAACGAAACAGAAAGCATTGTCCCTCAATTTATGACTTTCTGCTGATAAGAATCAACCAAAGCAAATAGAGATGAGCACTTTGAAGTGAATCGTGTCACGATGGCGCAAGTGATCTAAACAATTTTGGAATTTCACCTCCTGGATATTGGATTAGGTAGGACAAATTGACCTACTATTAGTTCATCACTAAATTATATAAGTAAATTCTTTGCACTAGAGGTATAATCCCCCCATACACGATTCTCACTCGCTGTCATCTCAATGTCCTAGGGAGCAAGTAAATATAAACATGGAAATTAATTGTGCAGCTTTTTGCTTTATGCTTTGTATTCGCCTGTTATCGTCAATGAGAGTGGACGCCGCAGCCGGCGCGTGCGTCCAATGAGCACGAGCAGCACAACGAAAGCAAGAGAGAGCGTGAGCGAGAGCCAGAGCAGTCCACTTCACAGTCTAGACATGGCACTCGGGCCTCTCCCGGACACATGCGCACGATGCATGGGCAGAGGCAAACGAGAAGCGCAACTGGCGCGCCAAAACAGGTTCCCTACGGTTGAGTAGGGGGGGCGCCGTCGGAGCAAGGGCGAGCGTCTGTTCCAGCATGACAGCCGACGGCGCCAGTTAATTGCAAACTTTTTTTTATAGCCATTTGCTGTTGCGTATCTTTTTACTCGCTAATGTTGTTGTTGTTGTTGTTGAGGCTGTTGGGGGAATGTGAAGTCTGCTGATTAACTTTTTGCATGCTGAGCGTGTGGTATGTGTGCATATGTATGTATGTCTCTGTGTGTGTGTGTGTACTTCTCTGTGCATCTGCCGCAGATTTGTGGACGAAATGTGTGTATGCAGAAAATCAATGCAAGCAAGCACAAGCACAAGCACAACAGCAACAACAACAATAACAATAGCGCAGGCAAACGACAGAGAAGTGGATTGTTCGGTATTTTAAAGGGTCCTGAGTCTGGTTTCGAGTGCACCAGGGTGGGTGGGCGCCAAGCTCAGACGTTCGCATGTCTGTCTGTGTGTTTATGTGCCCGTGCATGCGTCTGCTTGAGTTCTGTGTGTGTGTGAGTGTGCGTGCGTGTTTGTGTTTGTGAGTGCGTGCGCAGACCTGCTTCAAAATTGATTTTTCCAGTCATTGCGAGTGGTTGCCGCACACGAAATTTGAGAAAAATATTCACATGAAGTTGGAAAAAAATAAACTGGCTTTACTGGTCAAGCACACAGCAATATTTCAGATAACAAATAATTATTGAATAATTTGTAGTTCATCTTACACTTTTAACGGTTTTTCAAGACATGCCCGCACTGCGTTAACACAAATTTGATTTGTTTTGCTTATTCGAATATCTTATTATTCTTTTATTAAAACAAAACTAGAAGTGCAGCCATTTAGATTGCGTACGGCGCCAATGGCTTGTGTGCCATATTATTATCTTATTTAACTTGTTTGTGATTTAATTCCCCCTCTTTATTAAATATTATAAATTTGTTTGCTGCGCGCGCGACACTTTCAAATTACTTTTGCCTTCGCCGTCGCTCACTGAGAACTGACTGACTGACTGACTRCGACTTAGGCGCCAGCAGTGCCGTCGACGACGGCGACGACGCCGGCAGCATGCGCATATTTACGAAGCAGCGTGGAAAGGCGCAGACACCGCTTGGCGCTCTCAGAGAGCGCTCGACTTAAGAGAGAAACACAGAGGGAATTAGAGAGAGTGGCCAGAGGCAAAGAGTTTTAGTCACTTGTTGATTGCAAGTGGTAAACAGATTTCTTTATTTATATATAAATAAATATATATTTATTTACATATGTATGTATGTATGCAAATTCATTGTTCCACTGGGGGAGCCGGCAGCACTTGACCAGCGCAACTGCCAAAACCAATGCGCAGGCCATCTTTCTCGCAGTGCCCACGAATGATGACCTCATCGTAGTCCTGCAGGAATTTTCGTGTTTTGCCGCCTTGAAGCTTCACGGTTTTAGTGCCACGCCAGCACAGCTCCAATAGCGAGCCGTACGAGTCGGGTGTCTCGCCGCTTATCGTTCCAGATGCCATTAAATCACCTGGCCGCAAATTACAGCCGGTGACCGTGTGGTGAGCGATCTGCTGCAGCGGTGTCCAATACAAGTGCTTGAAGTTGGACTTGCTAATGAGCGACTCGCTGTCATTGGCAGCTATGAATTAAGAAATTCGGGTTAACCATACCGAAATCATTTGAGTACCATATAGATCTTACGTTTTAAGGAAACTTCCAGATTGATGTCAAAGTTAAATGGAATACTCTGTCTTAGGTATGGCAGCACTTCCGGTTCCTGTGGAAAGTTATCGATCAAAAATGGCTTCAGCGCTGCCGTCGTCACCACCCAGGGAGATATGGTGGTGCCCAGATTCTTGGCCGTAAAGGGGCCCAGTGGCACGTACTCCCACTTCTGTATATCACGAGCACTCCAATCGTTCATTAACGTAAATCCAAAGACATTCTGCCAGGCATCGTCCACCTTGATGGGTTCGCCCAGTGGGTTGCCAGGTCCGCCTATGAAAAATGCCATTTCCAGCTCAAAATCCAAAAGCTTGCATGCTCCAAAGATGGGTTTGTCAGCGCCGTCGGGCAACGTCTGTCCCAAGGGTCGGCGAATGGGTGTGCCCGACACAACAACAGAGCTGGCGCGTCCATGATAACCCACTGGTAAATGACGCCAATTGGGCATCAGAGCATTATCTGCACCACGGAACATTATGCCCACATTGGTGGCATGATGAATGGAGGAGTAGAAGTCCGTGTAGTCACCAATCTGAGCTGGCAAATGCAGCGAAATCTCCGACTGAGGTATCAGAGCTCTAGCGCAAGCAATAAACAGGAAATAAATTAGGAATTCGAATCGAATGGAAGGTATATAGATAACCTACGCGCTCCTTAAGTCCACATTCTGCTCCACTTCGGAACCCTTGGTCAACAGTTTCTGGGTTTGAGTCCTCACTTCCTCCCACGCCTCATGACCCAAGCTCATCAACAAGTTCAGCGTGTCTGCCTGCAGAGCAGCCTATAGAAAACAGAGCATACTCGTCAAGCAGTTCAGCAAGCAGTGCAAAGTATATACCTGCAGCGGGGATGCAAACAAATGCGACACAGCTTTTAGATCCAGCACATGCTCACCAATTGCGACGCACAGCCGATGGACGGGCTGTAAAGCAACAAGAATACGGCCATAAGAAATTATACGATATTCAGATACGATATTCAAAGATAAGCAGGTGTTATACATAGCAGTAGCTGTTATGACTATGGAAATCAGAGGTTGTTTTCGTAAACAAACTAGTTTTGATATAATTTAACATGCAAATGATATGCACTAAAGCGGTCTTTGTTCTAAATTGAGAGACCGAGCACATGAGAAATTTCTTTACTGACTATTTCATAATATTCCATGTGACATTCGTTATTAAATATGATATATCAATTGTTTTTTCACATATATTTAAAATAGCTGAAAATAAGGAATATGTATTATATATTCTAAATAATAATTCTAAATTAAGTTGCCTACAATTTGAATTACTTACATTCGACTTAGTAGAGAAGACAGCATATGGTAAATTTTCCAAGGGAAAATCGCTGCCGGCTGGCACTGGCACGAAGCTGACTGACATTTTATCCAAGTCGAGATGAGTATCAACTATATAACTGAAGAATTTAGAACTTCCGTAGAGATGTGTGCTTAGTAAACTGATTAAAATGACAGCCACAACGGAGAGTGTGCTTAACGCCAGAGTGACGATGACAACTGAGTAGCTGCTCCCAATTTACATTCTTTATATATCGTAGGAATGCCCCTCTGGTCGCTCTTAAGCCGGTTGGGCCGGTTATCATCAGCTCTTAGCAGAACAAGCCCCTCAAATCGGCGGCGTGTGCAGAGAGGCAATTAAAAACTCTCTTTCTTGCTCTTTGGTTACTTTTGTTTTTTATTTACTCATTTATTTATAATTTATGTATACATAATATATATTTAATATTTAAGATGCTGGAATAATTGTTGTCTTTGTTGTAGTTCTCAAATACATATACATCAATTTATACACGAAATACAAATTATATGATTTGACTTTGGAATTTCTATTTAGCTTTTAATTCATCTGGTATACACATAATATATATGTATGTATGTAATTTGACTTCAATTTAACTTAGTAAACAGCACATTAAACTACAATTACATAAATGTATATTTTATATATAATTGTGAATATATTTATACGGGTAAAGATTATGTACGTGTGTTTTCTTTTTGATTTTTCTCGGAACTCATTTCTAACCAAATTTAACAAAGTCGAACCTAAGTTTATTAAAATTCATATTTATTCAAATTCATATATAATGTTCCAACACCTTTTCTTAACAGTTTWTTTAATTGCATTTAATTGACACCGAATATATCTCCAATATATATATATCAGACGTTTGTATACGATGATAAGCACGATCAATAACTAAGATTCAACTAAATTATTCGTTTATACGTATTTATGTATATAGCACAGTTCGATACTTGGACTAATTTGGGCTCAAGATCCCATTCTTACAGATTTACGTAGTGCTTGAAGCCCACTCAGCTTCCCCCAATGATCTTGTAGCTTTCGTGTGTGAACTGTTTTCAGAGTGTACAATTTAACAAGCGCAGGTCTCTTTGATATATGGTGTAAAGGTACATACAATTGCCTGGAGCATAAACTTTGCCATAGATCAACTCTAGATATACTTTTTATATAGCTGCAACAGAACTATATAATTTGAGAATTGCAAACGAGTTAATTAGAATTCAACATATTTTTAGCAATAACTGATTTTTTTTGTCTTGCTTTTTTTTTTTTTTTTTTTTTYTTTAATGATATGTTAAGATATCATATCGTTTTACAACAYTTAGGCTCTTAAGTTTTATTTTGTTTCGCTTATAATTTGCTTTCAAATGTTCCAACTTTGATTTTTAAATTGATTTGTTTGTTTCTGGTTTGGTGGTGAGTGTGGCGGGTGGTTTTGTGTAGTGTTTGGATTGTATTATAAATGTACACAGAGATATTTTTTTAAAGTTCTTTACGATATAATAACTTGATATAATTCATATCTGCAACAGTCGCAATAAACTCTTTAAATTTCATCATGAAAGTGAAACATAAAATAACATTAAAATTGGCAACATTTTGATTATATTATGAGTACATATTTAATAGTTTTCCAACACTGTGTTGGGGCTTAAAATTCAATAACTGAAAAGCGAAAGAAACATAACATTCGGCAACACTTTATAATTCAATGTACAGTAACATATAACTTTGATTAGTTGAGCGTTGTTTTCATCGCGTTCTTATGATATGCTTTTTACCTTAAAGATACTTCTTGGTTGCATCGACCACACAACAGTAGCTAGATTTATCTTTTGGAGACAATATAGGTTCTCAGCTAGAATCGCTTACAAGTCATCGCCCAATCGGTGTATCTCATCAAGCATGAAGTCCACGTCCTGCTCGGTCACAGCAGCCGATGAGATGATCGACCGGAAGAAGTTTGGTCGTCGATCGTCTGGCTGGTAGCCAACCATAAGTGTGCCCTTCTGCATCATACGTCCCTTGATAATGGGGCAGATCTGCAAAGGCAGCAAATGAAGAGGTGGGTAATTAGTTTATAATAATTAGGTAAACAGATGGACATCTTACCTTGCCCAGCTCCACTTCCTTCTTGCTGTCATGAGGCACACCTCGCAAACGCTTGGGCACATACCAGAACGAGACATTAACGCACTCGGGCTCCATAATCAAGTGGAAACGATCGGACTGCTGCCTAATGCGCTTCAGTTGATACTGAACCAGTTCCATCAAGCGATCCTGCTGCTGCTCGAATCCCTCGGTGCCCTTGGCGCGCCACTGCAGCCAGAGCTTGAAAATATCGTTGTGGCGTCCACACTGGATCACCTTGTCGCCAGTGTCGTAGCTGATGTCGTACTGCTTGTCGGTCATGAACAGATACTCTGCTGACATTTGGTTGCAGCTGATGAGCAGGCCCTGCAAACACATGGATTTTCGTTATCGGTTTTCCGCCTTCTCTCTTATTTTTTTGCTCATAAGTCAAGTTCAAATTTTAATTAAAATTCCGCCTGCCAAAAGACGCAACTGTGACCGATGCCAACATATTGCACGGAATATAAAAAAGGAAACCCAATCGAGGGGTGGCTCTAGCCAAACTAAACAGGAGCAAGAGCAGCGGCGGCAGCAGCAGCAGCAGCAGCAGCAGCAACAGCAGCAGGAGCAGGAGCAGCGGCAGCAGGGTTGTCAAACATTTGCTTGTTCATTGTAATTTTCAGACTGCGACAGCCTCCGTCCATGTCTGACTGTCGGGCTGACTGACTGTCGGTCTGTTGTTTGGCATGAAAAATAACAAGGAATTGTTCGCAACACAATTGGAATTCCTTGGGCAAACAACAAACATTGTGATATGCAGAAGAATGCTTACGAAAAACGAAGGATATGCAAACTTGAAATATGTAAGAGTGAAAAGGGAGAGACAGTAGTCATTCATGTCAATCGAATAAAATATTAAAACCGAATTTTAAGCTTTAGTTATAGTTATTATGAAGAAATTAAAACTTCAAAGTCAAGTCTGAAAGTCTAAGAAGAATCCATTTATATAACAGTTTGTAGTTCAAAGAGTCTATTCAATAGAACTCTTGTTTCAAATTTTGACCTTAATTCAGTAAAATTTACTTATAATATTAGTTTATTTTCTATCATCGAGGTCCGACAAGAGTTGACGAAAGGCTAGTACCAGGTCACCATTAACATGCAGCGCTGGCATACAATTCTGCTCTGAATCTTGAAAAGTAGCATAAGTATTGATAAAATTTTGTAATGTATGTTTTTAAGTTTAATTTCAACTATAGACTGTCGTGAGCTGAATGAAAAACTTTATATGAAATATTATACAATACTACACTGGATGAGAATAGCGATCTAGGCTGCACTCAGCACGAGTGAGCTGCAGTGTTCCATGTTAAACTCTTCTCATTCTTTGAGTATTCTAACGCTATATTTTGGAGTAAAGTACTTTATTTGAAATATAAAGCCAAAGAAAAGTTATTAATATTTTAAAGTAATTTCTTTCTTGTTTTTAATGAGAGCATTCCTTTTCCCATTCGCGTTCCTAATTTGCCAAGTGAACCATTTTTATTGGCATTCCATAAAAAATTAGGAAATTAGCTTATTTGTCATAATTGACAATATGTCCAAAATAAATATTTTATTCCTACAAGTAATCGGTCCGTTTAAACTTAGAGAATATATATCTTTTTTCATAATTTTGTTCATCGTTTAATACATTACATTACATACATTGTACTACTAACTAATGTTATCGCATATCCATATGTCATGTATGTAAATAAATAACTTAGCAGAAAAGGACTATGTATTAGCCTAAACTCTTCAAACATTGCAAACATTGCAAAAAAAATACCATTCACAACATTATTAATTATAAAAAAGAGTGAAATAAATTGAAAATAAAACAAGTAAGAAAGCTCTAGTCGAGACTGCTCGACTACGAGATCCCCTGAACCCTTGGAGCAATAGATATTTCAATAATTTTTCGCGTCTTTCAGCTTACACAAGAAACACGCACGTACGCACACACAGGCACACATACACACACACGCATACAGACACACATACACACACACACACGCATACACACAAACGCATACACACAGTCACCCTGATCAAGAATATATATACTTTGTGGGGTCTGCCACGCCTCCTTCTCCCTGTTACATACATTTCAACAAAACCATTATACCCTGATTTCCCATTGAAAATGGGTTCAGGGTATAAAAATAAAAAAATTGTATTACTAACAATAATATCGCTGATGAATAAATTCAAAGCAGTTTCAATACTTACATCTTCCTTGAAATGAATAGTCGAGCACTGGAGCAGGGCTCCCATGAGCTTGTGTGGATTCCAGGTGACAGAATCCGCGCTGCAAAAGTCAAATCAGGTCGGGCAACAATATATATTAAATGACATTCAATTACAAATTACAAACAATTAACACTAAGCTCCCACGCTATGCGGTCTGTGCGAATCCAGTGCCAACCCTCGCGCGCAGCCACCCCGCCGGGACAAGGACGGCGACAAGGACAGAAGCTTCCTAGCTGGCAAGTGCCATAAATTGTGGCAATTTGAAGCCGCAGAGCTTTAATTGAATTCAAAGCGAGCGCAACCCCAAAGCCTGAGGGTCGACAGACGCCACTAAACATCCCCCAGGGGCAGCTATTTACAGCTCCGTGTGGGTGGGTGTCTATAAACATGATGCTTATGGAGTGCCACTGTGAGCGTGCTTCAGCTTGAGTGGCGGCATGTGGCGCATGCCACAAGTTTTATCAATGACACTGTTCTTGTGTCTTGTGCAGCGCCAAGCTGGGGCGAAAAGTTTGCATTGTTTTAGCCATTTCCCGCAAGCTAAGCCGATTTAAGAGCATCTCCTAGCAGCTGGAACCGAATGCCATTAATCAACTCGGGCTTAGCTGCCAATGCCCACAAGATGTCAGCTACACGCGCATTTAATGATTAATTTATAGAGAGCCGTTCAATTAGGGCCCGCAATTTGCATGCCAACCAGGATTTGGGCGCCAAATGAATTGAACTTGAATGCCCACTTGATGGATGGGGCCCATCAATTTGAAAGTGTTTATGGGACACTTCTCCCTTGACCGCAAAACTGTCAATACGACAGCTGCAGCGGCGG